TGTCGTTCATTAAGGTGAACCTTCCCTTGTTGGGCTTCCCCTCACCGAACCCAAAGAGGTAGGGTTCCAATGACAGTCTCTCGCATAACACACCGCTTGCCTGCACCTGCCTGCCCACCCTCCAGTTCTCCTTTAAAAAAAGAGACTTGCCTACTTGCCTTCCAGCCTGTAAATTGCCCCCCTCAGTCAGAACTCCAGCTGCAGATTCCAGTTGCCTCCTCAGGCCAAGTTCCAAGCAAGTCGTGCCTGCCTGCTGGATCAAGTCAGACCAGCAGGCTGAGGACTGTTGAACTCCTGCCTGCCTGGTGACGTAGCCCCAGTGGGCTGTTTCTTCCACCTTCTGCCTCATTGACTGCCTGCTGGGTTACATAGATCCAGCAGGCTGTTTGTTCCATCTTCTGCCTCCCGGGCTGGGAGGAGAGAACTGCCTGGCAGAGGTTAAACCACATCAGTTTGGCAATCTGAAGCCGGGTGATACGGTGATGGGATGACATACAGACAGCCTTTGGTTGGGGCAGACCCATGCGAACGTGCCAAGAGGGCCAGCCTGTCTCAGCCCCCCAAAACCTCCGAGGGCTATCTTTATCATATCCGGGCAGACTCAGAAACCAAGTTGTAATCTATCCTGCATTGACCAGGGGTTTGGACTTGATGGCATTCCAACTTCACTTTTCTATGATATCTTATTCACCTTAACTGCTATCTTTATCATATCCGGGCAGACTCAGAAACCAAGTTGTAATCTATCCTGCATTGACCAGGGGTTTGGACTTGATGGCATTCCAACTTCACTTTTCTATGATATCTTATTCACCTTAACTGGTTGGCTCTTGCCTTTCCACTGGACCATTTCAGCAACGTGGAGAGGGGGGATCTGTTGCTTGGGTAACAGCCTATCCTCCATATTACTTTACCCAGGCTTCATGCTCTCGAGAGGACACTCCTTGATACAGAGCATGTTACCATAATCTCTCGAGACTGAAGGATGCCTATGATATTCACCTTAAAAGGCATATTAGGGTCGCTATTGGAGATGGGTAATCTAAAAACGAACCAGGAAGTTTGTTGAAAATCGTTGCTTCGGGTTCATCCAAACTGAAGAACCCAAACAGATCCAAACCACAAAACATTTAAAGCCATTTCCTGAACTTCCTGGCTCATTCCCTCTGCCCCCAGAGCCTGCCACCTTCTCCTTCCCCCAATGCCTCCCTACCTTGTCTTGTCACCTCTGCCTCCACGTTTGCCACCACCATCATCTTGAGAAACTATAACCCAGCTGCCCTTCTGGGAGAGGGGACCTACCATCTTTGCACATCTGGCCACTTCTCAGTTCATGGTTCATTATCATCATCATCATCATTGGTGTTATTAAGTTTAGATGGTTCATGGGTAGCCACAAACCACATAAAGAATACTGATGTTATCTTTTAGGTAAACACCTTTTTTAAAAGATCTCTCTTGTGTTTTGATTTCCGACTGTTTTAAGTCAACAGTTTGAGCGTCCCACTCTTGTGTCAACAAACGGTTGTCACTTTTGTTATCGGTGCCCTCACTCGATCAGAGGGATTTGTATAAATATGCCGCTCCTGTTCTTTGCACTCCTGTGGCTGTAGCCATGGACTTCAATCCACGAAAGCGCACACCGAAATAAAATCACTAAGCTTTTAATTGGTGCCTCCTTCTCTTCTTTTCGACAGCCTGCTGAGAAAGGAGTGACCTGGTTCATTTTGTTTGAAAACTACTACAAAAGTGGCTTCTAAGGTGCTGGAGGAGAGATTTGTGGATACTCTGGACTGCCGGAAAGGCAAACAAAGGGGTGCTAGATCAAATCAAGCCTGTAAAAAAAAAAAAATACTGAAACTGAGTCTGTCCTACTTTTGGGCACATCCTGAGAAGGCAGGATTCCTTGGAAAAGACCATTATGCTGGGAAAGGTGGAAGGTAGCAGGGAAAGAGGAGGACCAAAAATGAGATGGGCTCACTGCTGAAAGGAAGCCACAGGTTTGAGTTTACAGGAGCTGAGCAGGGTTGTTAAAGACAATGCTTTTTGGAAGGCTCTCATTCATGGGGTCGCTGTACATTGCCTTGATGGCACACAACGATGAACGTGCTATAGAGAAAAAAAAAGACACCCTCTTTCCCTGAAGTACATGTCATTGCAACACAATAGAGTTAAAATGGGGATGGGATCTCTCTCTCCCTCCCTCCCTTCTTACTTTTTGGGTCTAGGGACGGCACTCTGGTTTGGGGATCATGGGCTTTGTAGTCAAAACATAACCTTTTCAAGCTCTGTCATTTTATTTGGCTTTGCCTTTACATCCGAGGCTTGACGTTTCGTGTTTCTGCTTCGGGTTACAATTCCCACGATTCTCCAGCCATGTGGAATTCTGGTAGCTCTAGTTTGGGGGGAGGAAAAGCCTAAATCTACACAGTAGGCGCTTAAGGAAGTATAGGTGGCTGTTTCCCCCACTTTCATCCCCACAGCCACTCCTGAGGTAGATCAGACAGAGAAACAGAGCCCACCACGGTTACCCCTCGAATGTCATCGTTCTTGAGAGGATTTGGCATCAGATATTTAGAATAATTCTGTCTGTCTGTGTTGAAAGCATACTGCAATGCTTAAGGGGTTTTTTTTTGGGTTAGAAGTGAGAGGGGAGAAGTCTCCTTGAAAAATATCACCCAAGAATAAATCTGTACCACTTTAAAGCACCACAGACCTTAAAAAAATTTTTTTTTGCTCATATGATTATGTCTGTTTCTTTCCTTGTTAAAAAAATAACACACAGAAGTGGTCAAAAATCTCCTTAATAGGTCACAGGATGTGAAAAAGAGGTTTATTTCGTTATGGTTTATTCTAAAGATTCTACACATCTAGCTGATGGGATTCATTAATGATAAGGAATTATTATTATTTTTTTGCCCTAAAAACCCACATGATTTATTAAACCAGGGGTCTCAAACTCAGTTTACGTGGGGGCCGCTGGAGGCAGAGTCTGGTGAGGCTGGGCTGCATCAGATTTTCCACAAAAAAAGCTTTGTTAAAAAAATTCCAATCTCAGAGCCCTTGTCGCCGGCCATATACCCCACCGGCTCCATCCTCACTACCAGCAGCAGCAGCAGCAGGATGAAGAAGCGGAGAAGGGAGGGAGCGCTGACGACCGACTAGCAGGGGGGAGGGCACGGCATAAAGTTAAAGAAACCCTCACAGAATTCACCTTGCCAAAGGAGAAAAGCTCCCACCAGTACCCGCTAAATAAAACAGAATGGGACAGGCCCCCCACAGGTGCACGCACACAAACACACACGGAGTTCTGGCAACCTTCCTCTGAGCCCCCCCCCTCAAAAAAAGATGCACTCAGCAGCAACAGCTACCCCCACCACGACAGAGGAGCAAACTTTGCGAGGCAAGCCCAGGCAGCCTCCAGAGCTGAGGCAGCTGAAGCTGGACGAGGAGGAGGAGGAGGAGGAAGCACTGTCGGGTGCTGAGGCGGCCGCCGGCTGGGCTGGTGCTGGGGGTGTCGAGAGAGAGAGCCAGAAAGCCGCTTCCCTGGAATATGTGACGGCAGCTGCTGCTGGCGGCTTGGAGGTGCTCTTCGAGGATGGGCCGGGAGCGAACTCCGCTCGGCGAGGGCTCAGGTGCTTGGGGAGGGAGGGCTAGCAGCGGCAGCACACCTCGCTCGCCTGCTCTCTCCCAAGATAGCGCCTCTTGCACCCTCCATCCAGAACTGCAGCCCGCCAGTCAGCCTGCCTGTCTGCCGGCTGCAGTTCGGGATGAAGAGTGCAAGAGGTGCTGTCTTGGGAGAAAGCCGGCGAGCGAGGCAAGGCTTTTTTTTATTCTTGGCAGCAGAGGACGTGTGGGCACTTGGGGGGGGGCAGGCAAGGCGGGGGCCACAATCTATCATCTGGCGGGCTGCAAATGCCCCCTGGGCCGCATGTTTGAGACCCCTGTCTTAAACTCAAAACAGTCGAAGCAAAATCACAATGAAAACAGCAAGGAGAGAAGCGATCAGAAAACAATGCTAGGGGGAAAAACAAATGAAAGAATTCAACTTTGCCAGTTGTAAAAAATAAAGTGGGGGGGGGAGAAGAGGGGAGTCACAAGACTGGATCAACACCCTTTGGCATCAAGGCAGTTCTGTTAAACGGGGGCCACCGCATCAAAGTCTCTGCAGCTCACTTTGAGGCCTCCTGCTGCAGGACAACCTTCAGGAGATGATCTGAAGGAGAAAGCAGGCGGTATTCTGAAGCAGTTCTGGTCCTGGTTGGTTCAGGGTGTTCCATGTGCACACTGAATGGAACCTGCAATCCAAATGCTAGCTGGTGCAGATGACCAGGAGCTAGCATGAACTATCCCAAGTCAATCAGCAGCAGAAGAAGACTCCGGGTGGACCAGAACAAAGCCCCAGCTATTCCAATGTTCTGCTCCCGATGTAAACAAGCCACGATATTGGTGCAGCTGCGGACTAGACCAATTGCAAGCCTGTGAAATGTCCTCAAAGACCATCCTATACAGAAGGGTCTACAGTACTCCATCCTGAAATAGAATGCAGCCTCAGCCATGGAGGGCAGCTTTAGGTACTCACAGTAAGAGTAAAGCTGATACAGCAGCCCATGGTGCTAAAACATACCCCTAAAACTCATGACCCCATCCTCTCGAAGAAGTATAACACCAGTCCTATACAGAAGGGACAACAGTACTCCATCCTGAAAAGGAATGCAGCCTGAGCCATGGAGGGCAGCTTTAAAGGTAAAGGTTCCCATTGACAATTTGTCCAGTCGTGTCCGACTCTAGGAGTCGGTGCTCATCCCCGTCTCCAAGCCATAGAGCCAGCGTTTGTCCGTAGACAGTTTCCGTGGTCATGTGGCCAATGCGACTAGACTGTTGGCTGTCACCTTCCCACCGTGGTGGTACCTATTTATCTACTCACATTTGCATGCTTTTGAACTGCTAGTTTGGCAGGAGCTGAGACAAGCGACGGGAGCTCACTCCGTCGCATGGATTTGATCTTCCGACTGCTGGTCTTCTGACCTTGCAGCACAGACAGAGGCTTCTGCGGTTTAACCCACAGCTTTAGGTACTCGCAATAAGATTAAAGCCGATGCAGCAGCCCATGGTGTTAAAACACACCCATAACCCCCATGGCTTAATCCTGTGGAAAAAGCAGAATGCTTAGGTGTATTCCCCCTGGCTATGGACTGAGTTCTAGAGGAAAAAGTGTAACCCCGATTTTCATCTACAGCATGAGAATCTACAAGGACTGGTAACCATGATCAGTATATTTCCCCCTTCTTCCACTGAAAAATTTATTTATTTATTGTATTTATATCCCGCCTAGCTAGTCAATTACAACCAATCTAGACGGCTTCAAAAAGACGCTTCAATTCTTATGAATAAAATTCATTCTACATTTCTGGCCTGCCTGCCTATGGTTTTTCTGCTGTGGATTCTTGGGCATCTACGGAGGTTTCATCATGGCCTGGAGATCCGTCTTCATTCCAAGCATCAGCTGACTGGTATGGTTTCTCCGCCCTGTGGATCTTCTGGTGTTTACGGAGGCTCGTGCTCACACCAAAGCTCTTCCCACACTCCGTGCACTGATAAGGTTTTACTCTGATGTGTGTTCTTTGATGGTTAATCAGGTGGGCTCGATGACCAAAGCTCTTCCCACACTCTGGACATTTGTAGGGTTTCTCCCCCGTGTGAGTCCTCTGATGCGACGTGAGGTTCGTCTTGTGACTGAACCACTTGCCGCATTCCAAGCATTTGAAGGGTTTCTCCCCAGTATGGATTCTTTGATGGGAGGTGAGATTGGTACTCATGCTAAAGCTCTTACCACATTCCAGACATTTATAGGGTTTCTCTCCAGTGTGGATCCGCTGGTGGGACGTCAGGGATTTTTTACTGCTGAGGCTCTTTCCACACTCCAGGCACTGATAGGGTTTTGCCCCCGTGTGGATCGCTTGATGGGACGTCAGGCTGGTGCTCTCGCAAAAACTCTTCCCACACTCCAAGCATTTATAGGGTTTCTCCCCAGTGTGAAGCCGCTGATGTAAAGTAAGGGAGTTAGCCCAGCAGAAGCTCTCTCCACACTCTAAACACTTGAATGGCTTTTCCCCGGTGTGGATTCTTTGATGGTAACTCAGGTATTTGCTTGTAGTGAAGTCTTTACCACACACCAAGCATTTATACGGTTTCTCTCCTGTGTGTAGCCGCTGATGGTCGGTGAGGCTCACAATGTGACCAAACCTTTTCCCACACTCCAAGCACTGATACGGTTTCTCCCCGGTGTGGATTCTTTGGTGGTAAGTGAGGTTGGTTTTCTGGTGGAAGCTCTTCCCACACTCTAGGCATTTATGCGGTTTTTCTCCGGTATGAGTCCGTAGGTGACAAGTAAGGTTTGTCTTCTGACTGAAGCACTTCCCGCACTCTGGACATTTAAAGGGCTTCTCACCTGTGTGAGTTCTCTGGTGGACGCTGAGGGCTTTGCTGGTTCGGAAGCTCTTCCCACACTCGGAGCACTTGAACGGCTTCTCTGCCGTGTGGATCCTCTGATGGAAACGGAGGTTTCGGCTCGTTCGGAAGCTCTTTTCACAAACTGGGCATTTGTATGGCTTCTCCCCAGTGTGGATTCTGTGGTGCGAGGTCAGGTTGGTGCGCTCACGGAAGCTTTTCCCACACTCCAAGCATATAAACGGTTTCACTGTAGTGTGGAAAATTTAACATTAGTCAGTGACCGAAACCAACCCGTACCATGCTCACGTTCCACCTACTTATATTCTCTCTGCTCCACCTGCGTTTTCCTGGGAAACCAGTTGGTTGTTACTACAGAAGGACAGGAGCATTTGAAAGCAAAGTGTGCCCATAAAGCCCTTTTTTTGGGTGGTTTACAATTTAAATTTTAAATGCTGCGTATAAACCAGTTGGTTGTTACTACAGAAGGACTTCCAGAACAGGAGCATTTGAAAGCAAAGTGTGACCATAAAGCCCCTTTTTTGGGTGGCTTACAACTTAAATTTTAAATGCTGCGTATTGCAAAATAATGCCACCTTGATTGATGATGGGAGTTGGGATTTCTATCTGGAGGGCTACTGGTTCCCTCTACCTGGAATAACCATACACACAATGGTATACCTTTTAGAGTTCACTGCAGCTTATATTTGGTTAATTGGGTAGAGCAGTGGTGTCCAACCTTGGCCCTCCAGATGTTCTTGGACTTCAACTCCCAGAAATCCTGGCCAGCAGAGGTGGTGGTGACGGCTTCTGGGAGCTGTAGTCTAAGAACAGCTGGAGGGCCAAGGTTGGACACCACTGCTGTAGAGCAAGCCGGTTTTAGAGACTGTAGATCCACTATGGACCAATGTCTTATTATTCAACATCTTATAAGGACATATGCGGCAAAAGTCCCAACCTTATGCTGCATTTGTCGATCTGAAAATGGCTTTTGATTCAATCTCGAGACAGCAACTATGAGCCAGTTTAGAAGCCACCTCAATAGATAAACGATTACTTCTATTGTTGCGTGTGCTACACAATAATACCAATGTCAAGGTTAGGCTCAATAGGAAAGGGAATTTAACAGAACCGACTAACATCTATAGAGGAGTCAAACAGGGCTGCTTACTGGCCCCCTCATTGTTTAATTTATATATAAATGACATAGTAGAACATCTGAATTCTCCTAGTCTTCATTCTCCAAAATTACACCAAAGACATATTTCTATCCTTCTCTATGCGGATGATGCCGTGCTTCGGCCTAAAGAGAGCCCTTATGAAATTTGCAGACTTCTGCAGAAAGAAGGAATTAGAAATAAATTATAAAAAGACAAAAATTATGGCCTTTGGCAGAAGACAAAAGAAAAGATCTTGGATTATAAATGGGCAATCTCATGAACAGGTCTCCTGTTTTAAATAGCTAGGTATGGCCCCGCAATCCACTGGGGACAGGAATGCCCATATACAATATGCAGCCACCCAAGGGGAAAAAACAGCAAACACCATCCTAAGGTTCTACCATTCAAAAGGGTGTCATTATATTCCAGCAGGCCAAAAACTCTTTCAAGCAAATGTGGTCAGCCAGATGCTCTATGGCACCTTTATGGGGCCTCCACCCAGCAGTTTTGATCCAATAGAGCGGGTTCAGTCAAAATTCCTTAGAGCAATGCTTGAAGCCCCAAGATGCGTAACGAATGCACAAATCCGTTTAGAGACCGGCTCACTAACAATGGCAGCCAAAATTGTACTAGTCTCCCTTCAGTACTGGCTTAAAATAAACTTTCAATTACAGGGATTAACACATTTACTCCTAGAGGACAATTTCCAATCGAACTGGTTAAAAGCGGTCCTAAATAAATTGCAAGTAATGGGCTTCTCTCCTCAAGCAACATTAAGCATGCAATGGGATGAAGCAAAATCAGGCCTTAAACAGAGAATAATGGGTATGGAGAGACAGGTAGATCTCAGTAGATGCCCCAATTTTAGAGCAATAGACATGCACAAATATCGTCTGCTCCCTACGTCACATCTTGAGACGTATAAGTTTAGGAAAGCCATTACTCTGGCTAGATGTGAGGCTTTCCCTTCTGTGGTGTTGGAAGGCAGATTTAAGAAAATACCGACGGAACAGAGATTCTGCTGTTGTGGCTCTGGAGAGATAGAATCGATGGAGCACATGATGCTCAGGTGTAACCGTCATAAACTACTACAGAACTGGTAGCGAAATTTTGGGCAGCATGCTATGGCAGACAGAATAGACAGCTAAACCCTTAGACCTTGGTTTTACATTGCTATATTTGCTGCTTTAGATAGTGGTGCCCCGCATAGCGACATTAATCCGTTCCAGGATTAACGTCGCTATCTGGATTCGTTGCTATGCGAGGGGGAACCCATAGGAACGCATTAAACTCTGTTTAATGTGTTCCTATTGGGGAAAAACTCACCGGTAAGCGAAGATTCCCCCATCCGGCTGCCATTTTTGCTGTCCGGTAAGCGAGGGCAGGGCGCGAAAACGCTGCGGGCGGCCATTTTCTGCACCCGGCGGCCATTTTGGAACCACCGATCAGCTGTTTTCTAAACATTGCAATGCAATCGCATTAGCGATCGCAAAAAACACATCGCTATGCAGATTCGTCGTTAAATGGTGCCCTCGTTAAGCGAGTCACCACTGTATTTTACTTTTTTGTATGTCTGGTATGGCTCTTTGTACTGCATGCCAGTCTTTGAAGTTTTGTATTCAATTTTGTATGACTTGATGCCGCAACAATAAAGTATGTATGTTAATGCTGCATATTGATCCCTCAGAGAGCTGCATACTCAATTTACTGACCTCAGAAGGATGGAAAGCGGAGTCAACCTCGAGCTGGCTACCTGAGTCTGGGAAAGAACTCAGGTCATGGGCAAAGTCTTCACTTCAGTACAGTGGTGCCTCACATTACGATATTAATTCGTTCCAGCGAAATTGCTGTAGAACAAGAACACCGTAAAGCAAAATTAAAAAGCCCATAGAAACGCATTAAAACCTGTTTAATGCATTCCAATGGGCTTAAACTCACAGTCCAGCGAAGATCCTCCATAGGGCGGCCATTTTCGCTGACTGTCTTGCGAGGAATCTGTCCCTAAACATAGCGGGGAGCCATTTTATTTACCCGGCAGCCATTTTGAAACCTCCAATCAGCTGGAGGAAAATCGTCGTTTTGCGAAGAATCAGTTCCCGAAGCAGGGAACTGATCATCGCAAAGCGAAATTCCCCCATAGGAAACATTGTTTTGCGATCGCAAAAAGTTCATCATAATACGATTTCGTCGTTAAACGAAGTGATCGTAATGCAAGGCACCACTGTAGAAACTTTCTCCACTGGGTGGATTTTCTTACAAAATTTAACAACTGAAACATTTCTCACTTAAGACACCGACTCAATTCCTCTCATTTATCTATTTACCCTGCCAGAAAGATGAACAAGTGGGTGCTGGAGGAAATCAAGCCAAAGCTCTCTCTCTCTCTCTCTCTGGACGCAAAAATGAAACCGAGGCTGTCCTACTTTGGGCACATCATGAGAAGGCAGGATTTTCTGGAAAAGACAATCATGCTAAGAAAGGTGGAAGCAGGAAGAGGAAGACCAAATACGAGATGGACTGACTCCCTCAACGAACCACAAGGCTGGAGTTTGCAAGAGCTGAGCAGGGCAATTGAGGACAGAACATTCTGGAGATCATTTATTCACAAGGTCACCATAAGTCAGAGATGATTTGATGGCACATAACAATCACAACAGATCTGTTTTTTTCCCCCAAGCAGTGGGATTTAATCTACTGCTGCCTACTGAATTTGTTGGCCTACTTATACATTAAGGGGGCCAATTAATAATCTAGGCCCAACAGAATTCTGGATCCAACCATAGGACTTTGATCGCTCACAGGAACTAACAGTAGCCCTGCAGTCAAGAAGAGAGAAAAAGGCTTTCTGTGAGAAGTGATAAAAAAAATACAGAAGCTAGACCTTAGGATATTCCAAAGTCCAACTGTGAGGAAAAGAAACCACGAAAAGGAAAGAGGCGAGTTCATGAAGATCAACTGTCAGTAAAGACAAAACTGTTTGAGGGAGACATGGCACATCTTCAAAGTATGAATATGCCATCAAGTCAGTTTTGACTTATGATAACCCTTTCCATGCCAGTAGCCCTGCAGTCAAGAAGAGAGAAAAGGGCTTTCTGTGAGATGAGAAAAAAAAATAATAGGAGCTAGACCTTAGGATATTCCAAAGCCCAATCGTGAGGGAAAGAAACCATGAAAAGAGGTGAATTCATGAAGATCAACTGTCAGTGAAGACAAACTATTTGAGGGACATGTGGCACATTTTGAAAAACATATGCCATCAAGTCAGTTCTGACTTATGGTGACCCTTTCTAGGGTTTTCCACATAGAGTACTCAGAAGTGGTTTTACCCTTCCCTTCTTCTGGGGCTGCGCAGGCTGTTTCCTGTGCAGCTGGCCCAAGGCTACACAGGCTGTTTCCTCTCCCAGGAGGCACAGTGGGGGAATCGAACTCCCAACCTTCTGGCTCGCAGCCAGGTATCCAGCCATATGAAAACGTATGAGAACTCAGTGGATAATCCAGTCACAAATACTGGCCTGAGGGAAAGCGACAGGCCCGTATGGGTCACGTGCCTGACACAAGCAAGGTGTTGTCATTTTGTTTATATACTCAAGTCAGCTACGAATAACTGACATTCATTCACATTATGCTATGTTATACAGCTCTGCTGTGTGTTTTCGGACTACAACTCCCAGAATTCTCTGGATAGTTTACAGTCTCCTCCATGGATGAGAAGGATTCTTACCTATTGAAGTTATGATTCCAGAATTCTCCTCTGTGTCTCCTCTTTGGTCTTCCTCATCTGTGTGTAGCTCAGTTTCCATAAAGGTCTGGATTTCAAGCCCTGCAGAGCCAACGATATGCACCACAAATGTGCTATTATTCACACTCTTAGGAGCTAGGAGTGTTATTTCACAATCAAAATGGATCTGTTGGTGATCTAGGTACACTTCTGTTGACAGGACCCACGGCTTTCCCAGGGTTGAAGGCAAAGTCAGGGGCATGGATCAAGAAAACTATAGTGGGGTCTTGACTTAAGAACGGCCCGAGTTAAGAACATTTTGACTTAAGAACCGCTCTCATAGGAAAATATTGACTTGACTTACATACTTAG